GCAAAGAAACATTAAAGGTCCTTTGCTCTGTTTACTTATAACCAGAAAAAAATTTCACTTGGTATGCCGACGGATTTGTCTGTCTCTTTTCACACCCCTTCCCTCCTTTCCCTCATAACTGAGCAAGTCACGCGGGATAAATAATGAAACAGTAAGTTTCGGAGGAATGAAGTAAAAGACCCGATCTTTCAATCTTTTTCATCCCTGATCTCATCCATCAAATTTTTTCAGAAGTTTTGAAGGAAATTTTCTCCGGCACCAAGTAGCATTTTAAATCATCAGGCAAACTATACACATCAACGATTAGATGTATCTGTGCTAAATGGTGCCCATGTACAAATGAATTACATTAAAAGAAACTATTTACGAAGGATTTGCGTCGGTGGCGTGGCGTGCTTTGCGATTTATTGATTGATTTGCCGTTTAAACTTAAGGGAAAAGATCGATAAACAGGGTGTTCGCAACGAACACTTTTATAATCGATTCTTTACCATAGCTTCAAATAAGGAAATATCGATAATCGATCATTCACGCCACGCCACTGGCGTGCCTCGCAGTTAATTTCAATCAAATTCATCTGCACATAGTTCCTTTCACACGTCGTTCGGCTAAACACGTCTGTCTAGCCTTCTTAAGAAGAGCATATAACACTCAGCGGATGCATCATTGAGGAAATTGAACATAGTGCCTTTTCTTTTCACATGCAGATAGGTGCTTTTTAGTAAAGGAGGCTTGAGCGGGAACCGCATTAGACGAACGGGATGGCATATGGGCGGATTAAACTCATCTAAGTGGCTTTGGAATTTAATGGGGCCTTGGGTTTTTTTCGTTCAGATGCCACCCGTTTCCGGCTTCCCGCCACGCTCGTCGCGCAGTTCCCATTTCGAAACCACGTCACAGCTCCTTTCAGAAACAGCGTATGTGTCTTTCGGTTTCCTATGCAAATAGGTGCTTTTAGGGACTTGCATGAATAAAGGTTCCTCATTGCAAACTGTAGTCTACATGCAACATGTGCTAGCAGTCCTATCCCATATTTTACTGTCACTGTGTTGTTTGGAATTTAGCATGGAGAAAGAGAAGGAGGTGTTTGCATCTTGAGGATTGTTATTTACCCTGTGACGTGGGTCGGTACAGCATGGCCAGCAAAATCCGGAATTCTAGGTATGAAATATGGACCATGACGTCCGATTTGTTAGCCCAATTCAACTATATAATTTCAAACACTTTATAAAGAATGAATTTTCCATAAACTACACCATTCCCAAGAAAATCGATGATAAAATGTCCGTGCCGACCTACGCCATCAAGAAAATCCAAAATACCCGAAATGCAAACACCTCCTTTTCTTCTTCATGGGAATTCAGTCTAAAACGGTGAAACTTTAAAAATGCATGTATCTCAGTTTGCAGTGTTATAGAGGAAGTCTCCTCTTAGGCCTTGTCTCCACGGGCCGTTTCACGAGATTTGTCCCAGGGAAAAATCCCACTTACGAAGTTGGGAAAAATATTGAGTTAATCGATTTTTTCCCAGTACCAAGTATGGTCCTTTTACCCTTAGGGCCCACTGAGAGATGAAGAAGAAGTGTAAACGAACTGTGCGATATTTTGTTGATTACTCCATTGTTCGTGTTTGTTCAGTTAAAACAATGTGTCTAATTGTCAATTGAGTGCAATTCTTATTTTAATCCTGGTTAAATACTAGACTTTAACTAAGTTATCTTCCCGCGCAAACTAGTCGCAGAAGCGTATGAGCCTTGTCCCGTGGAGACGGTAACTGGGAAAAATCCCAGAAGTTTCATTCCTGCGATTCGAACTTGGGAAAATCCCATGAAAAAGTCCCGTGGAGACAAGGCCTTATACTTTATTTTATAGCTGGAAAACTACGTCATTCCTTGAAAACCTTCGTATCTGTGTGAGGAACATGAATTGAAAATTTCGAGCCGTAGTGTTAATCCTTTGAAACAATAAAATACGAGCGGATATTTTAAGACAAAACATTTTTTTGCAGGTTAATCGTCGATACGTTACATGTGAGTATAGTCCTAAGCTCTTACGCGAAAAATTTTTTTTGAGACTCTCAACCTGCATACGTCTCCTTTTTTTACGTTTATTCAAAAGATAAACAATAACATCTGAGAATGCCTATCAGATCAGATACAATTAGCCAAATTATCCAGAAACGGACTCTAAAAGAAAACGGAAACCCACGAGATGAAAAGTTGAACCAAACAACTTATCGCCCTCCGCACAGGGTGACTCGTGAGATGCGTTACTTACGCGTGCATAATTAATGTTACCTATTTCACTCTCCATTATGTATGCTTGTTCACTATTTGCAGCGATTACTCACTTTAATCCATACTCTCCCATTTTTCATTGGATTAGGATAGTGCAGTTTAGATTTAAAATGTCCACACATAGAAGATTTGGTCAAACCACAGGGTATTGTTAATCAAATAATATAAGTTTTTTTTCGATGTCCCGCACCAAATATTTTAAGAATATCTGAATTAGAGATTCTTCCCGGACACGAGTTAAATATTCCTGCATTAATTGCTAGAAGGATTTGCCAAATTATTCGAAAAATGTCTTTCTTTGGCATCGATTCTACGAAATATATGACAGAATATACCGTACAAAATCGCAACAGCGCACGTAAAGGGATAAATTGTAGGACGCAAAATACGGTCAATGATTAAACGATATGAATTATGAATCAAATGTGTGAATTAAATGCTTGAATTAAATGCCTCTGAATCTCATCCACGGCTTGATTTTTATTGGTTTACACACCTGTCATCCTAAACATATTTCACCGACAATGAGCCAAGATTGTTCGAGTACATCAACTCTTCAACCTTACGCCCTTAGAACTCACCAACGGTCCCCTTTGAATAATTGCTTAAGATGACTAGGCGAAAATTCAATTCTACCTAATGGAAAATAAGTTTATTCTTTGTTTTCATTTTATTCATTTCCGACACAACTGTAAACAATGTTATCAAGAAGAAAAATATCTCCTCGTGTTATCATCCTTGAATGAGTCAAACAGAACTCCTCATTTTCGTACACAATTCATGATCAATAAATCGCGAAAATGAATAGTAAAAGAATACTTTTCAATTGCTTCACCGTTATGAGAGACACTATCAATGCTTTAGGGACATTTTTCAACGTTTTGACGCATAAAAAAATCTTTAAATTTTGCCGGGCTGATTTTTTCAGAGACAATGCATCAATTGTGAGCGTTCTCTGAAAGTTCCCTCCTGTTTCCCGAGCGATGTAAAAATTACAAAAACATTTTCATGAATTCGACGCAATGCCTCCTTTGTAAGACCTTTTTCTCGTTCCAATGCAGAGATTTTGAAACGTTGTTGTGCTGCGTGGATACACTTGTTCAGTGTTCAATTACTCACTGTTAGCTTAATTTTACACCGGGGGATTCAACACGCAGACCAAAAATGACCCGGAGCTTTTTAACAAAAAATAAGCCTTAAGTACCTACATGTTCTTGTGCGCTATACATATTGACCGAACATTTTTTTTTTTAAACGATACCTCCTCTTACAGATTTACGGAAACAAAGTCACCTCGTAAAATTAAGCAGGAAACTCAACGTAAGTCAATGGAAAGGCGAGGGTAAACAAAACGAAACAAAAAAATACCATGCCTAGGGCTGTCTAGGTGGTTATGACAATCAGAAGCGGATCTAGCAATTTGGCAATACTGGGTTTCCTCCATTTAAGCCTATGTTAAATAATCGATTCTTGTCGGAGTACCCGGCCCTTCCAAAATCGATACTTTTCCATAGGTTTAAATGGAGAAAAACAATGTTGCCAACTTGCTGGATCCGCCAATGGTCGTGACAATCTCATCAACCGGTAGTATATCAAAACACTTAGATCATAAAAATTAAATGATAACACCGGGCTCAGAAAAACGGTTAAAACCTTCTTAAAACTTCTTAAGATCATGGTTTTTTTTTGTTTCGATGGTTCAACTAAGTATGAGCATTTGCATTGTTGAAAAAAAAAAAAAAACATTTTATCTATAGCACCAGTGCCCCAGAGTCAAAAAGTACCTGACTCCATTCCAGTCATTCCAAGATATGGGGGGAAACCCGCGCGTCGGCCCCATTCATTTCAGTGATGCAAATCGCAATTTTTAAAACTCAGTATTTTGCAACTGGTATAAAATAGGGCTGCCCAATTTTCCACACACTCATGGACCCGCCATCGGAGTTTTCCAAAATACCACCGGAGGTTGCAACATTGACCCCGAAATTCAATTTTTTTCAAAAACGTACCTGTGCAATTTTTTCCCAAAATTTCTCTGGTTTTTGCAGGCAATCGGAAGAAAAATCAGTGAAAATTTCAGCAAAACATGCCTAAGATTCACCTTGAGAGAATTCAATTTGCGAGGGGAAATTTGGCAACATTGAAATGTAATTACGTTCTTGTGAAGGAAACGACGAGATGGATCACATTTTGCAGTAATGAGGAACTATTTCTGACTTATTTTAGAAATAACATATATGCCATTGATTACCCTATGCCGAAAGGTGCTTCTAAAGAAGGAGCCAGGGATAGTGGCTCTTTATTACAAAATGAAATTGGATTGCATTTTGCAAAAAGGAACCAGAAGAATTGCGATGATGCTATCAGATTGTGCATTTTCATCCTTTGCAATTAAATTACTGAAACCATGACAAAACATGAAATTTACATTGTAATTTTGTCTTAAATTTACAGTTTTTAGCTAGTTATATAGAAACTGTTAGTGGATAATCAGGTTTTTCTTCCAAGACAGAAGAAGTTGCACAATCTTAGCAACATTGCAATGCTCCTGGTTCCTTTTTGCAAAATGCAATCCAATCCAAATGTGAATTAGGTACCTTTTTTCTCTGGGGCATCGATGTTCGCCAAAACATTGGTGAAAAAAACGCACCCACGTCATGCGGTGATCGTTGGATGAGCCAAACTGACTTTTTGGAAATCTTACCTTCCCCGCAGAATTTCCGATGATTGGCGGAAGTTAAAAACAGAGTCTCAAAATAGAGGAGCTTAATTCCGAGTGGCGGGAGAGCACTTCATCGCGGACATGATCACCGGGCAGCACAGACGTATGGGTTCCTGGGTAGCACAGACGTATGGGTTCCTGGGTAGCACAGACGTATGGGTTCCTGGGTAGCACAGACGTATGGGTTCCTGGGTTCCGCGCGGTTGGAATGTCTCAGAATCCCATGGTAGGCGAGGGTTCGGGATGGGGCGAAAAGCGTAAGCACAAAGAGGGAGCTGGGAAACACTAGGACGCGGACTCGGAGGCGACGAACGCGGTCGACGGACGAGGGGCTGGCCAGGGCGCGAGACTGGTTTGAGCGACTGGTGAGTGGACTCGCCGCCGCGGCTCCCACGAAACCGCGCTGATGATCGTGAACCTGAAATATCAGCCGACGGAAACTGCATCAAGGCTCCGTTCTCCTATAAGCAGTCTGGAGTTAGTCATATTCGCTCCTATTGGTTTCCTACGAATCGGATCCTTGAACAAATCCTCAAAATACGCTCGCCGCGCTGTGGGTCGCGCTCCGGATTCACCGCGACAAGAGTCTACACTGCCGTGCTGAGGAGAAACGCCACGCCGTGTGAGTCTCATTTAGGGTTGTTTTTGTTTTGCTCCGAGCGAACCGAACGACCGAAAATATCGAAAAACGAAAATTTACGAAAGGGGGACCTTGTATAATTCCCCCAAAAGTGGGTCAAAATTTAAAATTTTATTAATTTCATACATATATTCTGAAAGCTCTCATTTTTCTGGAAGTTTTGCCACCAAGATCATCTTTTTACGACAAACCGTTGAGAAGTTATGCTACTTTAAAGTTTTTGACTTTGACCCCCCATCTCCCCTTTTCCCTGGGGGTTAGGCAAAAAATATGACCAGTTTTGAGTGTCCGGGAAGACCCTCTTTCATCCCTGAGAAAATCGTAGGATTCCGTGTTTAGGCCGATATGGCCGTTTTGTTGTAGGGTCCTTTCCCCTGATAAATCACCAATTTTCAGGATTTTTTTTAAATATTTCATTGGGAGTAAACACATTGGATCTATAGTCCAGACTCTTGAAAACATTGACAAGAAAAAGGACTCTTGATTCGATCAGATTTATTAAGCTTAAATCAAAAGGAAATCCGCTCAAATTAAGAGGCTTGGTTCTTGATTTAAGCTTAAATCTGATTGAATCGAGAGTATTTTTTCTTGTCGATGTTTTTAAGAGTCTATACTCTAGATCCAATGTGTTTTTTTTTTCCAGTGTTGTCTATAAATTTCTCAGATAATTTTGTTTGTAATTTGATCTAAAACTTCTGAAAATTTCAAGGAAAAATTTTCAGAGCTTTCCTCAAAAATAAACATTTTATCGAAGGAAATTTGGCGACTCTCGAATGTTCATACGGCGTTTTTCCTTAGCACGGCAGTAGAGAGACGCGGCGTGAATGATTGATTGTCGATATTTCTCCATTTGAAGCTATGATAAAGAATCGATTATTAAGGTGTTCGTTGCGAACGTCGCAATGGAGCTATCCAATAAGCTATTGATATGCCCCTACATATTGCCTGCAACTCATTTCTAACTGCGTACTAAACGTTTGATGGAGCTGGGGTAAAAAGTCAAAACGCCTTCAACTCACCGTGTATGCAACATGGATATCCATAGTGTGCGAATAGTTGTATCTGCGCCTTGACCCAAATGTCGCTTGTGCGGCTAGAGTCCTTTTATACTGAGAGTCAAGACAATGTGAAGCCATTTCTGATCGGTTCCCGTATTTTAGGCCTCCACAGTGTCACAAACGGGAATAAAGATTACATTTTCATCGATTGCAAATATTATAATCAAGAATGGACCGGGGAATAACGGGTTCGAGAAGGAACAAACGGAATGAGAGAAGGAACGGAGAAAGGAATTTGAGAATGAGCCGATCAAAGATTACGAAAAACTGTCAATTTGTGTAATCTTTATTCCCGTTTGTGAGTCCATAAAGGGGGGTTGTCTTGACTCTCAGTATAAAGGAACTCTAGAGAAGAACGCCGTATGAGCCTTTGGGATTTGCCAAATTTCCGTTGGTAAATCGCGAATTTCCGGGAAAATTTGTAAATATTTTTCTTCCGATTTTTCAGGTAATTTTGTTCGCAATTTCACCTCAAGTTCCTAAAAATTGCGAGGGAAAGTATCCATAGCTTTCCTAAAAAATAAACATTTTATCGAAAGAAATTTGGCAACTCTCGAATGTCCATACGACGTTGTTCCTTAACACGGCAGTAGAGAGACAAGGCGTGAATGATAGATTATCGATATTTCTCTATTTGAAGCTATGATAGTGAATCGATTACTAAGGTGTTCGTTGCGAACCCTATCCGCAGGTATATCGCTGGTGAAACCGCAAAAATGCGCTCATCGGTTTGTGACGCTTCAGGGCTTCTTGTCATGATTTATTTTTAATTATGGAAAATGTTCAGTAATTTTTTTTAGAACATCACTGATTTTTTTCTCTCTATATAATAACGATAAAATTCTCTCGCAAAAATTTCAAGCAGTAGTGTTAGCTCGTTCTCGTCAGATAAAATAAAATAGCAGCGGAGATTTTGAAACACTGCAAACGAGATGCATGTTTTTTCAATATTACCCCTCGATGTGGACTAAACTAGAGTCACGCTCACTACATCATGAAGTGCCTACTTTTCTTTGGAACTTTGTTTCTTAAATAGAAAACAAAGCAGCACTGAAATTCGTTTAATGATATTTGCAAAAAATGATCAAAGAGATTATTTATTTAATTGTTCTTTTAAAACAATAAATAAGAGAACATAATAGATTTTTAAACGTCGCAATGGAGCTATCCAATAAGCCATTGATTGCCGCTACATATTGACTGCAACTCATTTCTACCTGCGTGCTAAACGTATGGTGGAACTGGGGTAAAAAGTCAAAACGCCTTCAACTCGCCGTGTATGCAACATGGATATCCATCGAGCACGAATAGTTGTATCTGCGCCTTGACCCAAATGTCGCTTACTGCGGCTATGCGCACTGATTTCTTTACACTGCGGTATTCTTAACGTTTTAATGACAACACATAGTCTGCTCCATTGAGAATTTTTCGCCAAAAAAAAATAATAATAAATAAACGCCGTGAATTTCAGTTCGTAGAAAAAAAATAAAACAGAAAATAAAAATGGAGACTATAAACACCTTGAGTGTAAAATAAATTTTAAATGCATTAGAACGTCTACTTATTTCAAACCAGTCAGCTTTTTCAACATTTCACGGTAAGTGGATCGTAGCTAGCAAAAAGGGACCAGCGCGATTAATTACAGTGCTTTCAAAATCGTGCAACTCTTTTCTTTTGAAAATACTGAATATGTGTATAGCATTCAAAATTACATAATCATTTTCTTTAAAATCACCAATTTTTTGGTGGGAAGAAAAAACTATTTGCTATTCTAGGAGATATTTAAGATAATTATGAGGAAGCAACATTTCTACAACACTTTAATCACGCTGGTTCCTTTTTTCTAAATGCAATCCAAGTTGTGAATCCTCAATCGAGTCTTTTAAGACGTTTACTCGACAACTTTTTTAAAGACTCAAAACCACTGAATCAAGAGTTATGGCATTGGTCTGGATTTGAAATATTCGGCGACTTCTGTTCGACTCAATCTAAATACCGTACCACAGTGCGCCGCCGTTAGCGTGGTCGACCTGCGCCGATCAAGATTGTTCACACCGAGTGATTATAATGTGCAGTGAGAAAAAAATATGAAAATTACACATGCTCTTTCGTTTTACATTGTGCGCTAGCCGTTGGCTAACACACTATCGCCCGCCATTCGTGTCGGAGCATTGTGCGCTTCATTGGTTTTTTAACCCGCAGAGGCGAATCCAGCAATTTGGCACCACCGGATTGCCCTCCATTTGAACCTATGCTAAATAATCGATTCTTGTCGGAGCACCTGGTTCCTCCAAGAATCGATACATTTCCATTGGTTCAAATTGAGAAAAGACAATGTTGCCAATTTTCTGGATCCGCCGAATGAACCCATGGCTCGCTGAATCGTATCGTATAGGTCTCCTAACTTTTCAGATGAGTGGTTATGTAGTAAAATACTTGTATCATACATCGACGGTGAAACTACCATACCACGTATCTCGTTTGCGGTGTTTCAAAATCTCTGCTCCCATTTTATTTTTTTGACGGAGAACAAATCGATTTCATTCCTTAAAGTTTTCACACAGTTTTTGTCGCAAGGAGAATAAGCGTTGAAGTTTTCAAACATTGACATTGAATGGTTTTCCATGTAAAAAATAAAGCATGACAGGAAGTCTACAACGTCGAAAACCGAGATACTTACGTATTCTGGTAGTCCCACCATCGACATGCAACCTCATAAGTTTGATCCCCTCCCCCAGCCCCCACCGGAGATACGATGATGGGCTTTTTCACCCCATTGCTTTCCTATTACTAATATCTTTCTTCCTCTCATCAAATGATCTATTTCATTCCTCCATTACTTGATTATTTGGTTAGTTTTTCTTTCAAATAAATAAATATCTAATTAAATAAAATCAGAGATTTTTAAACGTCGCCATATTAATTTATATTAAGAAATGCGCATTTTAACCTGATCCATTGTATGCTACAGCATATTGCCTACAATCATAGGCGGTTCTACGGGGGTGCCAGTGGGTGCCGGGCACCCCCAAGCAAAAATTAAGTACGGTTATCGGAACCGTGAAATTACTGCTTTCCCTGGTAAAAATCTGCAGTAAAATCTGTGTTCCAAAATACCATTGACCTAAGGCCGGCTGTAAAATTTCCAATATAGCTTCTGTAGCCGGCTGTACAATTTCTTATAGCCTTTTATAGCCGATGGCGATTAAGTAACAGCCGGACGATAAAGTTTATGCTAAACGTTACTAAATACGGATACTAAGACTTAGTTAGTTTTTAAACTACCGCTCTCTTTTATCGCCGTAGTATCTTAATTTATTTTGCGAGGAAAGCTCCGTACTTTTGATGGATGCCTGCCATTCCTAATATATTAGAGCGCCTTCAGTTTCGTATGATACTGTGCAATACCTCTGGTGTGAAATAGTTGCTTCAGACGCCTCGGCACGCTGCGGCGCGGCGGGCGGGCAGAGAGCGCGAAACGCGCATTGGCGCCTACAAACCTAACAGGGATACTTCACGCATTGCGCAATGCGTGAAGTATCCGTGTTAGGTTTGTAGGCGCCAGTGCGTCGCCGTGCGATGCGTGAAGTATCCCTGTTAGGTTTGTAGGCGCCAGTGCGTCGCCGCGCAATGCGTGAAGTATCCCTGTTAGGTTTGTAGGCACCAATGCGTCGCCGCTCCGCTTTGTGTTAGGCTCTTTTTTCAGCTCATGATTTTGAAATGTTTGCA